GAATGCATTAATGACACCAAAATGGCTTGGTTGTTACAGTTTGGAGACAACATTTTTTCATCTGGCTGCAGGAGTAATTATTTCTCTTATGTAAAAGAAAAAGAAGATACAAAAATAAATAAATAAAATTGATTGTGACCACACCTCAAAATGGAGAACTGCCAAATCTATCATAAAGAACACATCTTTTTTCTAAAATAATTTAATCACAATTTCTTACGTAGATCGTACAACTTGTGTCTGCTGGCAACACATAGTTGAGTAAAGAGCTTCCAATCCTTTTCTTTTTTCTGTATCTTTTAAATCAGACTTTAAGAAGCATCAGGAAAAGCACACATATATATCAATACCAAAACCCACAAAATTAGCTATTATACACCCACATAGGCATCTGAGTAAATTGGCTAATTGCTTCCTGGGAAGTAATGTCATATGATGTTGTTGTGCATCACTGTCGAGCTGGATCCAACTCACAGCGACCCCTCCTTGGGTTTCCAAGGAGGTATCACTACGGAAGTAGATTGCCCAACCTTCCTTCTGAGGTGTAGCTGGTAGGTTTGAATCACCAGCCTTCTGGTTAGCAGCCAAATGCTTTAGGCACTAAGCCACAAGAACTCCTGATATCATATAATAGAGAGGCCCATTAGCAGTAGAGGCAGAATTATGTAGACACAAGTGGAAATGTGGGCAATTTCTTTTTCACAGTCTGAGTTTTCCTGTTTGCAAAATGAGGGTACTAATTCCAAACTTGTGAGGATTAACTGCAAATGAAATGAACAGAGCCTGACTGCAGGCAAGAGCTCAGAAAAGTTACTGTTACTTACCTATGCTCCTTAAAGGCAGAGCATATTTTCTCTTGAAACTCAACAGCAGGCTCTGTAATTATTGAGAACTGAGAACTACAAAGTCAAGAAACTTCAAAGTTACAAATGAGGATTTAGTGTATCAGTTCAACACATGTATAGACAGGAAATGAAGCTATGAAGTAATAATGATTACTCTCTTAAAAAATATACCAAACTACATACCAAAGTGAGCAATGTCCTTAAAAATTAAGACACTATGAGAGATGAGCAGCCTTTGTACAAATGACATGCAGAACTAATCTTCATTCATTCCTCAATTATTTCCAGAATGCCCATTAAGTGCTAGTCATTATGCTGGGCAATGTGCAATGTCCTTTTAACTAGGACACAGCTTCAGTCTTCGTGGAGCTGTGAAGGACAGGTAGATGGTTCTCACAATCACTAGCGAGGGATCTAACCTAGTTAGGATAATCAAGGAAGGCCTCGCTAGGAAGTAAAAGCTGAGAGCTAAAGGATGAAAAGGGAGTTAACAGTGGGAGGTATTTTCAAACAGAGAAACAGCTTGTGCAAAGACCCTAGAGCAGAAGGAAACATGGCAAGAATGCTGGACCAAAAGGTTAGCAAGCCTGGAGGAGAGATGAAGTGTGTGAATTAGCTAAAGCACACTAGGCTGCAGTAAGGGCCTAGAAGTTGTAGGTCACATTAAAGAGTTGCAACCTGATCCCAAAATAGAAAGCCAGTGAAGAAAATTTTATGAATGCTTATTTTGAAGGTGTAGAGATTTACAGACTTGGAAACCCTATGGCACAATTTTACTCTGTTCTACAGGGTCGCTATGAATTGCAATTGACTCGATAGGAGTGGATTTAGCTTTTATTTTGAGGGCAAGCAGGCTGAGGGGAAGATGCAATCAGATTGGTGATTTGCAATTTGACTCTAGCTTCTCCAACAAGAGGTAAGGATTTCTGACTTGCATAACTTGTGAAAAGAAGTACCATTCAGGAGGGATCTGTCCCTAGAAATGACTATAAAGCAGTTTACACATGCCAAAAATGGCTTAATTGCATTTCATCTTTGCCTGAAACTGTGTGGTGGTTATGTTTGTGTGTCAACTTGGCAAGGCCTGGTTGAGTGGCTGGGCAGCTGAATATAGTATTCCCCATGATGAGACTGGTAATCAACTCCATGGTTCAATCTACTGTGAGCAGCTGAGTAGCTGCCTTTGGGTATGTGGTCTGCTTCCTGTATTTAAGAAGAAGCCTTGGGAAATGGTCTCTAGCCTTGGCACACTTGGACCCTGCATGTAGTCGTGTCGTTGCTCAGCAGCCCACCATGCTCGGCTTACCTTGGGACTTACAATGGACTTAAGTTAATGGCCTGCCCTGTGGTTTGGTAACATCGGGACTGTGCCTTTTTACTTGTCAACCTTGTGGCTTCTCGGCCTCAGCAGCCAGCAGCTGAGTGAAGAAACACCTCTAGCTCCAGTGGGCCGGAAGCAGGAGGCAGAGCTGGACCCCAAGGTTGAGGGGCTTTCACCCAGTCCCCTAGAGCCTGGCACTTTGAACTTGGACTTAAAGCCTCCACATTGTAATAAACTCTTGTTAAGGCCATCCCATTTGTGGTATATTTTTTGTCAGAGCAGCACTAGGTAACCAGAACACTATGTTAACTCAGTTTGATCCCTACCTTACCTATGACATTCTGATTTTTTTTTAAAACATTTTATTGTGGTATAGGTGAAAGTTTACAGAGCAAATTAGTTTTCATTCAACAACTATACCCATTTTGTTTCGTGACATTAATTGCAATCCCCTCAATATAACAGAACTCCTCCCACTTCCAGGGTTCCCTGTTTCCATTCGCTCATCTTTCCTGCTCCTACCTTCTGAACTTTGTTTTTGGGCAAATGCTACCCTTTTGGGTTGACTGTTCTGAAGCGGTTCCTCATGGGTGTTACTGTTCATTTTATAGGCCTGCCTATTGTTTGACTGAAAGTTGATCTTGGGGAGTAGATTCAGTTCCAGGTTTGAAGGATGTCCAAGGGTCACAGTCGTGGATGGGGGGGGGGGGGTTTCCACCAGTCTCTATCAGAACATTAAGTCCAAGAAGTTTTCTTTTTTTTGCTATTTCCCAAAATCAAATTGATTCTTAAAGTACAAGGATTTTCCAACACTGAAGATATTTCAAAGATTCTACCATAGTTTTAAAATCAACTCCATATGAATTCCACAACTGGTTTAAGCAATGGGACGTTACGGAACGAATGTGCCATTTTCCATTATGACCATATTGATGAGTTTAAAGAAATCTTCATAATTAAGAATACACTTTATGTGATATTACCCTAAAGGTGGGAATGTGGCATTACCATAATTAGAACTAAGCTGCTTCCATGTTTATTTCAACGTTTTGAAATGCCTATACAAAAAGCTGGTATTTTGTAGAAAGCAAAAGGTATGATTTAAAAAATTACAACATATAGCCTCTTTACCTTAATATGTAAATCTTAGTATTTCTATCCAGCCCTGTTCAATGTCTCCTGCATTCATTCTAATGTAAAGATAAGATTTTTACTAAATAACACACCTGTATGTATATACGCTTTTTTGTACGTTTATAAACTACATATAGAATAAAATATTGTTCATATTATCAATACTTTAATATTTACTTTCCCTAGTTTTAATTTTTTAATACACAACCTAATGCCACTCATAGTACGATACTGCTACCTGTAAGTGTTAGAAACACAGAAACTTCAAACCTGATTAACCTAAGGAAAAAAAAGATGAGAGATTTGCCCCTTTAAAATCTACCTAGCACATTCACACCTCAGTACTGAAGTATTTCATTAATTCTGACAGGATGGGCTCCTAGGCCACCTGCTTGCATTAGGCCCTAACTGGCTTTTCATTAACTCTCAACTGCAGTTACCAGGATGTTACCACTTCTCATACATAGCAGAATTCATTTTTTTTTCCCATGCTGATTTTATCTAGAGTCATCAAACGACAAGACTGTGATCTGAGGCCAAACATAAGAAATGCCATCTCCATAAATGAGAAGTCAAGGGCTCCCCCCGCCAAAAAAAAAAATCAGGTCTTAAACCCATTAGACAACATTACTTTGTAAAACTAGACTGTACGCTAGAGACTGTGCTAGCAAACGTGGTCCTTGGGAACAAGGGCTGGACAGCTTTAAATGTTCGCCTTTAAAAAAAAATAAACATGGAATCTGACCATAGCTATATTTGAACACAGCTAAGACTGGATATGGGCAGTGCCAAGAAGATAACAGCGAAAAGCTTTAAGGTTCCCAGTATCAGTAGCCGACTTTTCCATCTTCTTCAGAGGGAGTGGTCTCTGTCTCCACAGCTGGATTATGGGGGAGGGAAAGTTACAAGGGCCCTGGCGTTTTCCCTTCCCCAAGCCCCCAAATTGATACCGCAAGCCACTTCCTACTGGGGATTGAAGATCATAAGCTTTAAGGGACAATGGAGCTCAATGTAGGCTTCAGAAAGATGGAGGCAGTCAGAAGAGATGGGGGTAGGGAAGTGGGGGTGAGGGGATGCACTCAGACTGGGATGACTGAATAGAGATGCTACAAGGCCAGGGATTTTGGGAGCATGAGAAGGCCTGGTTCTTCCAGAATCTGCCCAAGGCAGCCCTGCCACAACCCTCTGAAAAGCCTGAGGGGCTCATCTGAAAATCCAGGGCACCTATGCACCCACTGCCTATCACACTCCCCCAAAACCGGGGCTTTCCCTGCTCTTAAAAAACCACAAACCCTCACAGAAAGCAGCAAAACATTTATGTGGAGTGGAAGGGCTGGGGCAACTAGGTGTTCTGCAAATGTGGGGGTGGAGGGGTGGCGGAGGTAAAGGGAGACCCTCTAGTTCGAGGAACTTTAATTAGCACCGAGATAGTGGGGGGCAATATAAGGCCCATGGGCCTCGGGGACAAAGGCAAGGAGCAAGGGCAGGGTCCAGTGGCGCCCCCATTTTCGGGGAATGACGACACTGGGCGCGGTCGCAGGGGGGAGAGGCCACCCCGCGGGCCCGGCGCTGGAGCGAGGACGCTGCGGGGCCTGGGCCGCAAGTCGCCGCCAACCGAGAGCGAGGGCTCAGGAGGCAGAGGCCGGCCTAGGCCTCAGGGGCCCGGACACACCCACCGCGGCCGCCGCAGCCCCGCTTACCTGCTCCTCCTCGGGGGTCAGCTCCGGCGCCATGTCGGGCCGGGGCGCGGTCGCGGGCTCCATCCCGCCGCCGCCGCCCCGCGGACAGAGCTCGCCCGGGAGCGCGGGGAAGCCCGGGCTATCGCCTCAGCTTCCGCGTCCCGCGCTCAGCAACCCGAGCCCGGCTCGCGCATGGTCCGGCCGACGGGCCCAGCGCCCGCGGCGGGCTGCAAACGCCGCTCCTGTTTTCGTGAGAGAAAAAAAAAAAAAAATCTCTCTGAACTGTCGCTTCTTTCTGGGCGGAAATCCTTTTTTATTTTCTTTGCTCTATTCCTCACACTCCACCTCCTCTCCCGGAAAAAAAAAAAAAAAAAAGTACAGGAGAGGCGCTAATAGTCAATCGGGATTTAAAAAGGAAATATAAAAAGAAGTTTTAAAGCCCAGAGCGAAGGAGCTGGGGCGGAAATTTTCCGAAGGCTCCTGGCCTCGGCGGTGCCCGGCTTCCTCCGCGAGCAACCGCAGATGTGACGGCGCTTCCAGGCCACCCGGTCGGGGCGTTCTCGGGGATGCGGGCCCTGGCGACCTGCACAGCTGCCTCTCCGCCTCGTTCCTCAAAAGCGGCAGCGGAGAGAGGGAGGGAAGGAGGGAGAGAACCAGGAAAATGCGCCCCCCTTCCGGCTTACAGCCAACGCTGCGGCCGCCGTGCGGCCGCCGGAGCCCTCCGCGGCTCCATTGAGAAACTGAGAGTCTCATTCACAAACAAGAGGCGAGGAGGGCCGGACGGAGCGAAGACGCTGTCCAGCAGGGGGAGACAAAGAGGGTCCCGCGGGGAGCCGGAGATGGGGAGGGGGCGGTTTGAAACGAGGGCGGGGGAGGGCCTGTGGGGCTGGACAGAAGGAAACTCGATTGCAGGAGGGAGGAAAGGAGTGTGGATTTTATAAAAGGTTAAGCTAAGCTCCATGGAGGAGGAAGATTGCAGGAAGGAAAAAAGGAGTGTTAATTTTATAAAACGTTAAGCTAACTCCATGGAGGAGGAAGAAAATACTGTACATTCGAGTCTGAAAATTGTGTGACCGGCACCTCAGTAGGGCTGATTTGCGGCTACCGCTTACCTGTGAGAGGACATTATCCTCAAGTATTTCCATGCCTGTTCAGACTGAAAGCCTCTGGAAAGGTTACTATCTGCGAAGTCCAGGATACTCAGGTGGAAAGAACAGAAGCAGCTCATCAGGGGCTTGCCCCATCACTCTCTCCTTACCAGGTGTATTCTATGATCCATTATCAGTCTAGCTAATTTTAGTCTCTCACAAAAATAACATCCGATTTTGAACCTCATTCGGGAATCACGCAACATTTGAAAGGCTTTGATTTTCACTGGAGCAAGTACAGCGAAGAACTCGGGGGTTTTACAGGGTTCAAGACATAGGGTAGTCTTGGGACCGGTTGTGGGGACACAGGACAAAGTTGAGTCTGGGATGTTTTTGGATCATTCCATGCCAAAAGAATGTCACTTTGAAGACTATATAAGGTGTGGCAGGAGCTCTGGTAGCATAGTGGCTAAGACACTTGCCTGCTAACCAGACGACTGGCGGTTCAAACCCACCAGCCACTCCTTGGAAGGAAGGTTGGGCAATCCTACTTCTGTAGTGATACTGCCTCGGAAACCCAAGGAGGGGTCGCTATGAGTCGGGTTTGACTCGAGGGCACATAACAACAACAACAACATAAGGTGTGCCTGACCCAAGCCATGATATTTTCAATAGCCTCATATGCATTTGAGAGCTGGACACTGAATAAGAAGACCACAGAAGAACTAATGCATTTGAGTTGTGGTGTTGGCAAAGAATATTGAATGTAGCATGGACTACTAGAAGAATGAACAAAATGTCTTGGAAGAAGTACAGCCAGAATGCTCCTTAGAAGCAAGAATGGCCAGATTTGTACTTTCATGTACTTTGATTCATGTTATCAGGAGGGATCAGTACCTGAAGAAGGATATCACGCTTGGTAAAGTTGAGCAAAAAAAGGGAAGACCTACAATGAGATGGACTGACACAGTGGTGGCAAAAATGGGCTCAAGCATAGCGACAGTAAAGAGGATGGTGCAGGACCCGGTCAGTGTTTCATTCTCTTGTACATAGGATTGCTATGAGTAGAAACCTACACGATGGCATCTAACAACAACATGACAAAGGTAAGTATTCTAAAAAGGATCCAGTGAGCCAAGCCTGTGCCACAGCTAGTCCCAAGGGCTGTGAAGCCACCCTGCACTGCCATCTCAAATCTGGACCCTAATGAGAGAGACCCAAGGGAGGGGCCTTTAGACAAATGAGAGTATTCTTGGTTCCGATGCTTATTCTAATACTTTAAAAGCAACTCTTGACTTAACCTCTTTTCTACATCAAAGCAATAGCAACTTCAGGCTGCCCTGGGTTCTAACGGAACTGTGAATCAGAGAAGAAACCCCTGGTGCCTGGATGGTAGTTTGTCCTTTGCACCAATGAAACTGACTCTGGTTAAGTTCATCACTCCATGCAGAAGTTACAGTTTTAGTATTGCAAACAGATATTCCTCTAGAAGACAGTCTATTTAATAAGTATACTTATGTTAGGCATTGGGCTATGCATTGGGGTTGCAACAGTGAGCAAGAAAACAGTGGTGTCTTCCATATGCAGGGGTATGGAATGATCCTTGACCTATATCACAGAAGTGAAAAAAAAGCAAGACTTAGAACAGTGTGCATAATATGCTGGCATGTGTATAAAGAAAATATATATATTCATAAACTTATTTATACAGCAGAAAAGTAACAGTAGTTGCCTCCCAAGGGGGAACTGGATGAAGTAAGGAGATTAATCCCTGTATAGTCTTTTGTACATTTTAAGGTTGTTTTTTTTTTTTTTGTTTCTTTTTGTGTTTTACTTGAAGTAAAATACACATACAGAAAAGTGCAAATATATTAAGTATATACATCTTGATGAATCTTCATGGACTGAACACACTCCTATAACTAGCACCCAGATCAAGAAACAGAACATTATCAATTTCCCAAAGTCCTCAAGCCCCCTCCCAGTCACTACAAGACTCAAGGGTAACCATCTCTTGGCTTTTAAAGGCATATAGTAGTTTTGCATGTGGATGGAAAATCTTTTCAAAAAAATTTTTGAAAATCTAACTTAAGCAAATACCATTTTTTTCTCCTAATTAGGCAAACAAATGGCTCTAGAACTAAGCTGGCAGAACCTGAGTAGTAAAAACCACTGAGCAGAGACAGGAAAGGATGAAGAGTCTCAAAGAATTTTTTATACTTTCACATTTGTTTTGTCCAATGATCCTCAGGACACCAGGGGTCAGTGATTTATCCAATGTCACACAGCTAATTAATTACTACTGAGTTAGAGCTTGAACCCAGGCATTCTAACTCCTAGTCCAAGATCAGTTAGGAGAATTAATAAAGGGAGAGGTTTAATGAGTGGGCCAGGAGAGAGAACTCAGCAGTGTTTTCAAAAGCACAGCTGTGTGTGGGAGTGTGGGTGTGTAAAGGAATGATTTTCCGGAACTGTTGCCTATCACAGCCCTAACAGGACAATGCTTGGAATTTTCTGAGCAAAGATGTGGGTAACAAAACTAAAGGCAAGGCAAAGTTGGCTGCCTGCATCCACTCTGAGAGATGAATCTTAGGGAACCAGAAAACAGATGAAGCCACCAGGCTTGCCCTTAACTGCAGTTCCAAGCCAATGAAATCAGGTATGGTACTGTTAATCTTGCTCCATCAAATCTTAGAGACTGCAACATAGTTTGTAATAGAAACAATATAATGGCTCATCATTAGGATACTCAGTAAATTAGAGCACATGCATACACTGAAATAATAATACATTGACATTTAATGTGTTCTTACCACATGCCATTATTCTAAATGATTTTCATGCATTTAATCTCACCATAACAATTTGAGACAGGTGAAATCATGATCATCATTTTACCAAAAATAAATAAGATAGCTCCTCCACATGCACTGCCAGCTTCCTTGCATTTCTGAATGTTTGGCTGCAGGGCTTGGGGAGGGAAGGCTGGGGTAGAGTAGAGGGAATGTGGGTTAAAGAAAAGATTATATTTTTATTAAATTAATACAAACAGTAAGGGCCATATGAAAGTGGAAAATAAATTACAAAGAGGGAACCTCAGGGGAAGAGGTGTTATGAGTTATACTTTTGTTTTTGCTTTTTTTTTCCTGCTTTGAAAGCATAGGTTTCAGGTCTCTGTCTAGAAAGTTTACCCTCTCCTTTCCCCCACCTCTTTCACCAGAAAGATCTGACTCATCCTTCAGGTCTCAGCTCAAAAGTCACTTCCTCAGCAAGATCTTCCTTGACTATTCACCAAACTTATTAAACTGTAGCTCTCATTCACATCACCCTCTTATTTTTATGAGAGGATCACAATTTATAACTGTGTACAGGCAGTCCAACTTACATTTGACTTATGGACAACTAGTACTTGCCCTTTAATGTTACGTAAATTTGCCCTCACTTTTAAACCACTGAAACAATTCCTACTTGCAACACATTCTTCATCATAATCACCTCCACTTGCTGCATGTCCAGCTTTTAAATCATTGAAGCTTCGAGCCTTTCACTAAAATAAGGATAAATAAGAACCCTATGTACCTGTTATGACTGACCTACAAATTCTTATACTCAGATAGGAAAATATCTCATTCATAACCCGGAGACTGCCTGTACTTGTTTCTATGATCACTGGCTTCATGTCTGCCTGCACTACAAGTCTGTAAGCTATAGGAAGGCAGGGACTACATCTGTAGTGTTGGCCCCTATACCTCAGTGTTTAGAGCCCAGCACATAATGTTGTTGTTGTTGTTATTTGCCATTGAGTCAGACCCAACTCACAGTGACCTCTCCTTGGGTTTCCAAGGCAGTATTACTACAGAAGTAGATTGCCCCATCCTCCTTCCGAGGAGTGGTTGGTGGGTTTGAACCTCCAGCCTTCTGGTTAGCAGTCAAATGCCTTAGGCACTATGCTACCAGAGCTCCCTAGCACATAACAGCAAGCACTTAAAAACATGTAAGTAACTGAATCAATGAAGATAGCCACCTTAACTCTTA